CGTTGCCCCGGCAACGGACAGACGCCCCGGCGTGGAGGGCGGGGACGACGCAGGACGCCGGGGCCGCGCCCCCGGCGCCAACTTTAAAATGGGACCGCGGCCCCAAGGGAAGGGGGGGCAGCAGACCGCGGGCGGAGGACAGCGCCGTGGAGAGCGGCGCAGAGCAGCGCAGCGCGGCCCCGCACCCCACCGCACAGCCCCACACCGGCCAGGGGAGCACCGCCGAGGCAGCGGACCACCCCCAGGCTCGCGGGTACCCCTGACGGCGACGAATTGGTGAGCTCGGGAGCACGAGGGGAAGGAAGCAGCCCAGGGCAGAGTCAGGGATGACTGGTGGGCTGGCGAGTTAAGGGGTCGTACCCCGTCAGCCGGGTTCGGGTCACTTGGACCAGAACCCTTAGGGCCCTGGGCTGGGGCCCGTGAGAGTGGGCGGGCCCGGGCCCCCCTTCCCCTCCTGCGTTGTTGCGGGGGGGAAACCGAAGACGAAAGCGCGAAAAAGACTAGCTGAGGGAGCTCGAGACTCGGGGACCATAGCGAGCCCTCTGGGCAAACGCCGCGGGGCGGCGTGGGGGGCGTCACAGTGTGTGTGTGTTATCTGCTGTATATTTGAAAGAGTTTGTTTGCCTGTAGAGTGAGCACATAAGTCTGTCTGTCCATCTGTTCGTTCATTTATTCAAGAACTCCTCTTAAATGGTAAGATCTAGGACCATCAAATTTGGTAGGCAGCTTCTTCTTATTATAACTTAAAGTGAGGTAAGAATTTAGTTGTGCAGGGACATGGGCCTGAAACTCCCCCACCCCAATGCATACAAGGACACGTAAAAAGAACTCCTTCCAAACAGTAAGAGCTAGGACTGGCAAATATGCCATCCTCTTATCATAACTTAAAGCAAGGTAAGGGTTTGGTGATGCAGGGTGGGAAAGGGTGGAGGAGGCTGAAGCCAGGGGGAGAGGACAACTCTAGTATGGTAGCTGTCCAGGGGAGGGAGGACAACCCCAGCCCTCTGTCACTGCATTTGGCAATTCATAAAACTGTACAGAAGAGAGGCAGAATCTTCAGACAGGCGAAACTCCCCCTCACGCAGGCATTCTGTAATGAGAGTGGGGGACGGCTGCAGCTCCCTTTCTGGTTCATATGGGAACATTGCTGGCTGTTCTCCTTCCTCCGGGAGTGAGGGAAGAGTGCACGGTTTGCTATGTTTCTCACTCTGGCTGGGGAGCACAGAGGGTAGATGAATCTGGATCTGCCACAGCCGGGGAACATGCACCCCTCTCCCAGCTGTGCCTGCTGGAGCTGCAGCGGCCATGGAGAGACGCTTCTTACCTGGCCCCAAGCTGCTGTGGTGAGAGAGGGATGGGGTAGTCCTCCCTTCCGGGGCAGCCTGCATACTGAACCCCTCCTCCCCAACCTCAACCCAGAGCAACGATTTAAATGAATAAAAACAAAAATTAATTGAGTTAAGGACCCAAGCAACAGTGGGTAAAACATCTGAACTTTTTAGCTTCAGTGAAGCTTCATTAACCTAGCTATCATGCTGCTGCGGTGCAGACTTTTGTCAAGTTTAGCAGACTAAATATTTGAGTCTACTTGTTGAGTGTCTTATTCAATATTCTCTTCCCTTCATCATGACCTGAACCACGTATACACTGCAGATGAGTATATTAGCAACAGATGTCACAAACTGCCTGTGGCTAAGTCTAGCTAGAGTTTGTATTTAAAGAGTTTTTTTTTTTTAAATAAAGAAGAAAGTTAAAATGGGGAGAAAATCCTCAAAGAAAGCTGTTCAATTGCATCATGTTATGGTCCATTTATGGTACCTCCAAGTAGCTTCTTTTCTCCTGGGCAATTTACAGTTCATACACTACACATCCATACACTTTGAAAACACACAAAATCTATTCTGTTCTCTAGACCAGTGTTTCTCAACCTTTTTTTTGCTCATGGCCCCCTTCTGAGCCTCGTTTACCTTTGTGGCCCCCCTCATAGCCGCTGTTAGTTGGGGAAAAAAAGGTACATAATTTACCTAATGTTCCGTTTTTTCCATGTGGCCCCCTAGAGGTAGGGCATGGCCCCTGGGGAGCCATATAGCCCACGGTTAAGAACCACTGCTCTAGACAATGTGAAATGAGTTTGATGCTCTATGTTTAGTTGTTAGTGGACAAATGTCCATATCACAAACTCTTGCTCTGCAACTTGCATTCATAGCCAGCACTCTCAGCAGAGAGCCTCAAATACATATGTAGCGCCCCCTCTCCACCTGGTTACCTTCTTTTAAAGCCAATCTCCTTTCAGGTTCGGATGGATAGGTCTGGGTTCTTCTGGATCCCGCCACCTACTCAATTTTATTCTTTCTGATTGATGTACTTGGCGGTGCCTCCACCCCCCTCACTCCTTCCTAGCAGGGTTGCCAGGGCAGCTTGGGAGGAAAATTCTAGCCCAGGATAATCCCCACGTATTCGCCAGATAGTTGGAGACTCCCAGAAAATAACACAAACACATACACTATAATAAACACAATTATATTAAACAGGAGACAATTATAACAGAACAGGGTAAAACATTATTTTTAGGGTCACCGGTGCCCTGCAACTGTGAAGTTAGTGTCCCGTTGGTACGCGTACTTTGTTGGGGCCCTTGATGACTGTTGAC